CTCTGGACCCACTCCAGCAGGTCCATGTCCTGTTTGTGCTGGAGACTCTGCAGCTGAACACTATTCCAGGTGGGGTCTCACGAGAGCAGAGTAGAGGGGCAGATTCACTTCCCTCGACCTGCTGGCCACGCTCCTTTTGATGCAGCCCAGGATACGATTGGCTTTCTGGGCTGCCAGTTCACATTGCCGGCTCATGTTGAGCTTCTCATCCACCAGCACTCCCAAGTCCTTTTCCTCAGGGCTGCTCTCAATCCATTCTCTGCCCAGCCTGTACTTGTGCTTGGGATTGCCCCGACCCATGTGCAGGACCTTGCACTTGGCCTTGTTGAACTTCACAAGGTTCTCACAGGCCCACCTCTCCAGCCTGTCAAGGTCCCTCTGGATGGCATCCCTTCCCTCCAGCGTGTCCACAACACCACTCAACTTGGTGTCATCTGCAAACTTGCTGAGGGTGCACTCGATCCCACTGTCCATGTCGCTGACAAAGATGTTAAATAGCACTGGCCCCAGTACTGACCCCTGAGGAACACCACTCATCACTGGCCTCCACTTGGACATTGAACTGTTGACCAGAACTCTTTGAGTCATAAAAGCAGCATCTAAACAGGTGATCCAAAGACATCATACTTGCATGCAGACCCTATACTAAGTGCTCTGGTAATAACCAGCAATACTTCCTTGGAATCAGAGTGTAAAACAGGCCTATATAGCTTACGGACAGTACCTGGGGTTCATTTTATTTTATATGGTATGATCAATTGTTAAATGTACCACAGCTGCGAAACTTTTTCTTCAAATGTTTAGTTGCTACATTCTGTTTCAGATCTGAACTGCAAAGATCTCAGAAACTATGCAGGTAGAGGAGTTAAATGTAAAGCTGTAAACATCTGACCTAAATAATTTTGTTACAGAGAGCTGTCCTTTAAGAAAGGAGATACTGTTTATATCCTCAGGAAAATTGATCAAAACTGGTATGAGGGTGAGCACCATGGAAGAGTTGGAATATTCCCTATTTCCTATGTCGAGGTTTGTTCTCTGTTTTAATTCCTTGAAGTAGTTTGGGTAATAGGTCCACAAACTGCATGGGAATGATGAAAACTTGCATTTTTTCTTTTTCCTTAGAAACTTTCTCCCCCAGAAAAAGCACAGCCTGCCAGGCCACCGCCCCCTGCACAGATTGGAGAGATTGGAGAAGCTGTTGCCAAATATAACTTCAGTGCAGACACAAATGTGGAGTTATCTCTTAGAAAGGTACAGTTTAGAACTGCCTTTATCAAAATACCATTATAGTGTCTACTGCTACATAGGATTAATACGTATGTAAATACTGTACTTTGCATTGCACAAAGCAATGTAGTGGTAGAAAGCTACTAACATAATAGCCTGTTGGCTTTCAGTCTTTCACAGCTACCTGCAAATTCCTTAAATATGTTGCGCGTGTAAACTGGATTATGGTAGATTTGCTTATAGAAACATCTGCTACTGCTCACCTAAATTTCTAGTTTTCACTGCAATTATCCATTCCCTTTTTAAATAATTATTTGTTGCTGTCACAATTATGGTAAGGGTTTTAATACAGAAGAAATACAAAAATACACAAGATAGAAAAAAATAGAAAAAAAGGCTCAGAGATATTTTTGTGAATGTATCACCAGTTCTTGCAAATATCTCATTTAATAAGAGTCTGCTTTTTATAACATTCTCTTATCTTTCTCAGCACATCCTTGTGGTTATACTTTATTGCACAAGAGCACAATAAATGTTTAATTTCTGAGGTTTGTCAGACACTGGGATATTACCACTGTAGAGAAACTTTATCATTGCAGATATTATATACTCAGTTGTAAGTAGTATATACTTTTTATCCACTGGAAAGTTCTGCCTCTTACTGTTTTGTTGGGTTTTTTTTAAGAATTAGGGTTCATGGAAGTTATTCAGTGGTTTGTTTCTCTTTTGAAATAAGAGTAAGGATACAGTTTTCTGATGCTGACCTAGAGCCTAATCCAGTGTCACTGATGATAATGAATGTTTTTCACTCATTTGAGCTTAGTAAATGTCAGAGAGGTCTAAAAAATCAGGAATAGTTACTTAGAGAACTAGGGGTTGGAGGGAGTTTGGTTTTTGGGGTTGTTTTGTTTTAAAATCCTCTTTTGTGCTTGTTGTGGTGGTCATAATCTCAACAGCCCAGTTTTGGTTTGTTATTAAAAGTTAACTTGCCCTGGTTTTCTTTTGTTCCATCCCACTAAAGATAATTTCAGGGTACTCCACAAATCAACTACAGAGAACGCAAAACTAAAAGGGAAGAGTTTGTTACAAAAAGACACATGATAAAAAGCACATCATGTAAAACAAAGGAGGGGGCAGCTCATGAAGTTTCACTACAGTGAAAAGTTTGAATAGAAAGTTGCTATTTTCCATTTCAGTTACTAAGCTCTCTAAAAATAGGAAGTGAACTACTGCCCATCTTTTTCAGACAGGTGAAGCACTTCTTTCTCTCATCTTTCCCATGAACTCATTTTTTAACTTTCTACCTCTACTTATTTCAGTTTCACTGGTAGCAAAGCACTTGCATGGATTTCCTTGTTTAACTTTTATGACTCTTAAGGAAAATTGGGCCTAGCAGTCGCTCTTGCATATTACAGTTAGGCTGTTAGCTAGTGGTTTGGCCAACAATTAAAACAGATTACGTTCCAAAGAAAAGTTGAAACGTTAATCCCCCAAACAAGAGTAGAAGACTACATGAGATTCCCCTCTGATAAAAGAATAGCATTTGCAGTCTGTGACTAGTTCCCCGGTTTTACTGGAAAGGTTGTTATAAACGGGAGGAGAAATGTGAAATGGAGACGAGTGTCAAGACTGATGGGAAACAGCACTGCAGGATAAACAATACTATGTCTTAAAATAATACCTGCTATTAAAAAAATTAACTTGCAATGTGTCTGCTGATAACTCATTTTCTTAATGCATTTCAGGGAGACAGAGTAATTCTTCTTAAGCGAGTTGATCAAAACTGGTACGAAGGTAGAATACCAGGAACCAACAGACAAGGCATCTTTCCTGTTTCCTATGTAGAAGTCATCAAAAAGAATGCATCAAAAAGCGTTGATGACTACCCTGATCCTCCAATACCCCAAAGCTATTCTAGTGACAGAATACACCATTTAAGTTCAACTAAGGTAAGGATTTTTTTTCTTTGCTATCACCTCTAGAGTAGGTTTAAAAGGACTCGTAATTTTTTTGTTAACAGAAGATAATACATCATTTATGCGTTAAGTACACTACATTTTCTTTCCTGCATAGGTAAAATTGCATTACTAACTTGTAATTAAAGTATTTTAATAGCTTAGTGTGTGTCTTACATTTTGTCAGGATTTTTGCTCTTTTCTTCATTAACTATTACGTTATCGAGAGTAGGGCCAGGCAAAATTTGGGCAGAAAAATCAAGCCAAGAAAACAACATTTATTTGAGAATCTTAGGATTCAACCATAAAGGATATGCTTAGCAGACTTTTCGTAGTGCAGTGTGAAGACATTCCCATAACACAACTGTCCTAAAAGCCTGCAGTCCCATCAGCATGCAAAGGGCAAGAGAGGGCAGTTTGCCTGGGGACACAGCTTGCCAAGACCAGTTCTGTGCCTTTCAAAGTAAAGGAGAACAGATAATGATTCTGTACTGTAACCTTCCTCCTTCTGCCGTTCGTACTCTAGAAGGAGGTGGTTGGTACAATGGAGGTTCTTTGGAGTGGTATGACAACAGTGACACTAATGTTTCGTTTAGTGTTAAGGCAAATGCCATCACATTGTCAGTGAGCTTGGATTCAGACCTTTACAGTTGTAATTTTTCACACTAAATGTCTGTCGTAGGTTCTGAATTCTTTTCCTTCCTAGTCTATATAACCACCACAAATCATACTATATGATGTGGCAAAAAGATTCCTGTATTCCAATTTGTCATTCACTTGTGAGATTTCACAGTCACCTGTGCAGGGAACATGACCTCTTTGGCAGTGATAGAAACCAAGAAAGTTTCTGCATGCAAACTGTGATTAGCATTAATGTATTATCTATGATTTTGAATGCTCAAGATGGAAACTTTTATAAATCTTCCTCTCTACCTTTCTTCTTTATCTCTTCGGCATGGGCAGTGGGTTTTGTGTGTAATTATAAACTTCTTATCCTGCTATTAATTTCTATTTGTTTCAGTTGGTTTTGCCCCCTTTTCTGCTTTGATATACTTACATACTGGTGCTTATTTACATGCTTCAACTTTGAGATCAGTTTCACGTTTATTTGGAGTTTTGGGGACAACTACCAAAAGATGTCATTTATAGACAACAGTGGCCTCTGAAAATACTGCTTATGACTAAACAATCTTACCTGGTTTTGGATAGTTGCTAGAATAGGTCTTGTCTGTTTTCCAGAATGTGTCGCAACAGAGAACTAGCTCCTCTCTCTTCTATTCCAACAATGTTGTTGAATTGAAGCAGCATTAAATTCTATAGCTGTAGACTGAGGTATTCATAAGCTAAGGCCCCTTATTACAGGAATCCAGAGGTTCCTGAAGGCAAGTCAAGAGTATGAGGCAACTTAGGTGCTCCATATTACGGAGCTATCTCTCTGTATTTGGAGATGCCTCGCTCCCCATTTGCTTTGGAGCAGAACTGCCTCTAAGGCATCCTGCAGCTAAAGTTTCTGTAACCCCAATAACCCTAGTTGAGCGTAGGTGATGCTTCAGACCATTTGCATTCGAATTACAAAATTGTCCTGCCACTATTATTTAGTTAGTTATTACTAAATTAGTTCTGTAGGGGAGGAAGGTGGAAGAAGCCTTCTTTGCAACTCAGGAAACCTTTGCAATCATCTGGTTCTAGCACAAGTCAAAAAAAAAAAAAAAAAAAGCCTCTCCTGCCACTTTTAAACAGACATCTTGTTTCTGAACTCAGCTGTATTCAGAAGTGGCAATACCATGTAAGAAGACAACTTTTTCCTGACTACCTAGAAGGTCTTTAGCAGTCCTGAAGGTGTGCTGGAGCTTACCACAATTGCTGACACCACTTTTGCTCTTCCTTTGGAGTTTTTTAGCATGTATCACTCCCTGTTGCCAAAGGAATTGCGCTAAACTTCTCTGGCCTAATGGCAACAAAAATAAATAACAATACATGTGAGGAGCAAGCTTTGCTCTCCTTAACTTGTCCTAGACCATCTGTATCTTTAGCTCTAGTGCAGCTTGTAGCCACAGGAAACTAAAACTGGCAATGTCTGTCTAAATACTGGTAGTATTATTGACCTTAAAACCACAGGTTAGAGGCCCCTGTTCAAGAATAAAGATAAGATAATAAAGATAAAAATACTAATCTCTAAGAGGGAAAGAAATTGTGTATTGCTTGTAACAGCCTAGCTCTGTTTTAGCAGACTGCATTGTATCAGTCTCTAGACTGTTTACTTTGGTACAGAAAACTCTATAACAAAGGTTTGTATAACTATAAAGTACAGCCATTTGCCTCAAGAAAACTCAAGCAGAAGGTAAGTAAATTAACCTTCCTATTCTGCAACATTAATTTACCCTTTTGAAATTATTTTTCTACTCTAGAGTATTACTAGTCTAAAATAGATAGATAGATAGATAGATAACTTAGAGATATACATCTAATTATTCTGGATAATTCTGACAGCGAGATCAAAATATTTTTCATTCTATTTTGAGGATTAACAGTAACAAAATGCATTTTCAGTATTTACTGAAGCAATGGATATCTACTGATGCTGTGTACGTATGACTCACCAGTCTCTCATTCTTACAAAAGGACGTTTCTTTTACCAGAAGGATACTTCAATCAATATTATGTAACGGTACTCAAAATATACTGCTGTGTACTGTGCTGTCACTATTTTAAAAGCATCGTTGACTGCCTGTCTTTCGTGAATGTTGATGTCATTTTGAACTAATAGGGTTTCTTTTGAAGAAAAACACGTTCTGTAGTTGCTCATGCCTTAATAAAAGTATGCAATGTATTAAAGATGTTTCTTAAGCATTTACACAGAAGTATTAAGGAAAAATAGTAATAGTAACATATAGGGTAACTAGAAATCGCCTCAGTTGTTACAGTTTAAAAGAAATACTTAATGATACCTGAAGTATACTTCTGAAAATACTAATCTCAAAAGAACAGTAATGGTCAGTAATGATTTGGGGAAAATTACATTAATATTAATTGTATGATTTAATAACCTGTGACAGGCTCACTACCAGAGCACCATAAGTAAAATAACTTTAGCAGATCAAATGCAGGTTGCCTTCATGAATGTAATGATTCAGATCTGTCTTAATGTTTGACATTTAAGCCCCAAGCCAGAACCTGATACAGTTTCATTTTTCAAATGTCTTTCCTGCTGTTCTGATTCATGTAGTAATGATTTCAGACACCTGTGCTCACTGAAATGATATCCTATAATCCAGATGATGGCACAGACATTTTTCTTTTCCAGTCTACTCATATCCTAGTTCTCTATCATGCTTATTTATTTATTTATTTATTTATTTGAATTCCTGTGTTTTTCTTATTTTTGACATTGCCTTCCCAGGCACTGTCCCCACTTTCCAGACACCTTTCCTCCTCTTGGTCACATATTGATCAAAAGATTCTCCAGACTGCCACTAGTGATGAGTTTTCAAGGACTGTTGGTTTTTCACCTTCAAGCGTGTGCATCTTACCTCCTCCATCATTTCCAGACAGTTTTCTTTGTGACTTAGAAGAACTCAATTCTTTGGCATTAACAACATCCCAATCTGTAGCAATATCCCCAGGTAATAACATTCACCGAGTTAAGGATGATCACTTTCTTCCAAATACGGAGGTCTCTCTCAGCTCCCCTGCAGCTCTTCCTCTGCCCTTTCTTGTATCTACCTCTGTCTCATCTTCAGCCAGCTCATCTCATGACATAGCATATAAGCATACCAGCAACAATACCAAACCAGGAGAAGATAAAGACTTGAGAGATGTACTTGTCTCCTCAGTTCTCGAAGTACCTAGAACCTTGTCAGATACTACAAGAGAAGGTGAGCATGTTGGCGCTATCGATAACATCCCTTCGCCACGTGAAGGTGGCTCCATCTCCAGAGTGCTAGCTGCAACTGCTGAAAACGAAGAGGAAATCTACCCTGCAGATCTGTCAGTTAATATAGGGGATCAGTCAAAGCCTCAAGAATCAGATTTCTACAGAGAAGCACAAGACACAACAGAAGAACTGACAAGGCTCTATATAGAGGAGGATCTGGAACATGACAATTTAGAATTCCCCGTAGCAAGTGGAGGAGACTCCATGGTATGTTACGAAAGATACATTCCACTCAATATTGATGAGATATTTTAATTTCTGAAAAACCTGGCTTCTGTGTTCAAGTGCCTTACTCAGTATAATTATTCTGTGCCTTTTTTTGTATTTACATGTTTATGTTGCGCAGAGGCACAGTTTCATACTATTGCATTGGATAAAAATTGGCATTGTTAGGGGATAGTCCCTTCTCAGAAGTAGCCATATACACCATTGTAAGTTCTATGGTGTATCAATTCTGCTGATCCTTTCCCTCTGTCCTTGTTAGCTGCCATTGAGCTTCTGATGCGAAAAGCCAGGGAACTATTTTCCTCACTGGCCCATTACGTGCCACCCCTTTTGAGCCAGAGGCCCCAGCAAGCAATGCTGTCAGCAGCCTTCAGAGGGGGGGATTTGCCTCCTGCAGAGGCTCAGCGGTTTGTACTTCACATGTGTCTCTTCACCAGCTGATGTATTTATAGTAGACTCTGTTAGGAGAATGTGACTAATAATAACATCAGATTGTGTTTGGCAGTTAAACAAGTGCTTTCCCCTAAAGCCCTCCCCAGTTCCTCTTTGGGACACTATGATACTGATCTATCCCACATCTCTGCTAGCCATTAAATGCCACAATATTGCTACATGGTTTGTGTGGTTCTAAGCAAAGTTTTAGAATAGATCTTTTCTGACCAGCACTTACTTACAGGCTGCTGCCTGTTCAGGCAGTTGCTTTGGCTGGCACATGCAAACCTGTAAGTCAGATACTTAGCATGATATGTTTTGGCCAAATGGAAAACTAGTTAATTAGAAAGATTTTTGCAGGCTGCCTCTGCTCTTACTAGACCTGAAAAACACAGGAGAAAAGCTTAAGACTTGAGGTGAAATCCAGTGCCACAAATAGCAATTTGTTTTGATATGTGAAGGAAGAGTTTTCTTCCAGAATAGTCATAATAAAATTACCATCACTTTTCTGACTGTTCAGGTTAGTTACATGACTCCTTACTGAGCGTTTTATGTCCTTCACAGCTGGTTTTATAGCACAATTACTTCTTATTTTTCTTAAACACTTAAGCCAGCTCTACTTTCTACGGGAACATCAGGAGACTCCGATCCTCCTTTCCACTTTTCTTCTAATCTTCCATTTCACTCTGCTGAGGCACCAGCTTCTCACTCTGTTCCTACAACATCCCCATCTACTGCTTCCCTCTCACCTCCTCTCCTTTCTAAACCCTTATATCAGCAGGAGACAGACGCACCAAACTTAAAGGTAACTGCACCTCTTGAGTATGCAAATTGTGTGCAAATCTTCATGTATATTAAATAACTGCAAGGCTAACACTGAGTTTGATCTTTTCAGATGTATTGTTTCCCTTACTAATATTAAATAACATAGCACGTGGAGTATTAAGATAGGCCTTCTTCAAATGAAACCCAAGGTAAAACTATAATCATTATGATACAATGAAATAGCTTAGTAAGGTACCTGTGACAGGAAAGCAGAAAGCCTTCAATTCGGTTTCAAGACCATACCAGGACATCAGTAAATCTTACTTAACAAAAAGAAACAGACTCATATTCAAGTACACAGAAACTAAGTAAGGTTTGTAGTTTAAAAGCGTTTTCAATTTCCATCCAAAGCCTGGGAGAAGTCCTAAATTCCATAAGAAAGCACCACTGCAGAGAGTCATGCTCTAAATACCAGTTCTATTAGTAAAGGACTGGACAAAGATTATTCTCTTGGAATAATTTATCAGTTGTGCAGTGCTGTTGATGAGTACTTTTCGCTTAGCCCAAGTGACAAAATTTGGAAAATTCCTCATCGACACTGAAATTCTTTTTAGGTGCCCCTGATATTCCTTGCTCTTGCTTGAGCAAGGCATATTAATCCCAGCTGAAAATAAATAGAGGGAATATCTGTTTTGAGAATTAAAAAATCTGCTCCTGGGAACCTCCTAGACATCATACTGCTCTTCATAAGGCACAGCAGGAAGTAAGACGCTAAGTAACCAAAAGAGGTGACTCCATCGTGCAGACACAAGAACCTGAGTACTGAGAAAAACTAGAGGTCTGGGGGCTGTTACAGAGTTCTAGCTCTTAACTATTGTTTTCAAACCATTTCAAATCTGGATTATTTTTTAAGTCTAGGGAACAGATTTCTTTATAAACTTAATCTGTATAGACTTACCTATTTGAAAATTGTTGAAATTATTAGATACACTTCTAGCAACAGATTTTTTGCACAGTATTTCCAAAACGAGATAAAGATTTATTTTCTCCCAAGGCTAAGCAAACCTTTTTCAGCAGTCAACACTAACTACATTGCCAGGATAAAGAGTTGCATTAAAATAAGTGTAGCCAGGTTTTGGCTGTCATCATTTCTTGCTACTTAGTCTACAGACTGGACTTCCTGTCTTCTTCTTTGTGCACGTTGTCCCTGATTAAAGTCTCCTCACAAATGCTACAGCAGAAAGAATGTGAGATGTTTTTTCAGGACTCAAATATCACATGTACTGATACTTTGGTAATTTCTGTTGATGTAAAAATACATACATACATATGTATATATGTGTGTGTGTGTATATATATATATATTTGGAATGTGGCTCAAATCTAAAGCATGACCAGGGAGGGCAGTAGAATACAAGGAGCTATGGATGGGAAGTATCACTTTGCTCCATGTTGGTGGGAGGGATATGTCCTCCAAAGGAAGAACTGTGAAGACACTTTGCAAGGAGACACGCTGATGTTTTCCTGCCTCCTTAGCCTCTCTTGGTATCGTTTTTTTATTATTTACCCTTTCGGTGCCTAAGAGGGGGGCTGTTGTCTGTCTTGCCACATTCTACTGGCAAACAGTCACAAATCGCAAAGAAACGGTTTCCAATGTCAGCACTCCACTCCTCTCACATGCCCCCCGACTCGCCCCTGAGAATTCACATTTGCTGCGCACACCACCCCCCCACCAAGAGCTGAATTCTGACAAATACTTAGCTGATTTGTAGTGATGCTAACAAAACAAGGATTTTTTCCTTGAAGTACTTTCCACTGAGTATTTGCTTGCTTTCTAAATGCGAATTTATGGTCTATGTTCTGTTTAACAACAAGGAATTACAGCATTTGTCATTGGTATTTCTGAGATAATATTTCCACTCTGTGCTGTTGAGCTTTTCTGTGTTATTAACTGAGCTACTTCAGTGAGTATACTCACAGTAACTGTTCTTCCAATTGCATACACTGTACATGATTAATCTTTTAACTGTAATGTGTAAGGGCATGTGCCAGAGCAGCAAACCCTCGGAAAAACGGTATAGGGGCAACAATGAAAATGCCATGTACTAATAGTACCATTATTTGCACCTGTAACGCAAATGCTTTTTGTTATCAAGAAAAGCATGTCCAGTTTGCATGTATGAATGAAGCAACAAAAATCCCATAATGCTTCATTCTTAAACTCTCACTTGACACAGTTTTTGTGGTTTTTCCAGGCTAATTTAAAGAGAGAGATATTTGTTATGGGTAAACCGCCTCGTAGCCCAGTGATGACTAAGAGATCCTGCAGCTCACCTGTCAGAGGTCACAGCTATTCACACAGGGTACGGTACAGGATGCCCAGTGTGCAATACGGCATTTCGATAGAAAAGGAGCTCAGTGTCTAGTCTTTCAGTATTTTGCTTTTGCCCAAGTGTCTCAATACGATCAATACGTCGTGTTTTCTTCCTGTTGTGCATCTGTGCTATGTCTGAGTCAAGCCAACAGGTCTGTGTGTGCCAAAGATTATTTTATAAATCCATTAGTGTATTGTATCTCTGCAGTATTGCATAGTATTTCCAGTGCTACAAGAGGTAAGAGATCAAAGTTCTTTAGATTTAGCCTGTTTTTTTTCTAAATTACTCCTTTTGTTTCATATTATTTCTAGTTTATTAAAATTACAGATACTAAGAGTCAAAAATTTATACTTCATTGCATGAATACAGACTTTTGTATACAGGCTGAATTCTTGGGTTTTAATCCAATTCCTTCTTTTCAAAATGATTTGTTGCTACTATGTTACGTTCACTGTGCTCTTTATCCAAGCACTGTTATTTCAGACTGTCATACTCTTTAGTCTTTCCCTTCATATCTGTAATATAACAGTAACATAATTGTAACAATTTTACAGAAAGTCAGACTGTTTAGAGTTTGCACATGGTTGGCTCAAAAAGGTGATCTAAACTATGAAAAAAAAAATAAAACCCACACCCTAAACTATGTGAGAATAAGAATTTATGAGTTATGTTTTACTTTCAGTTTAGGACTAAATTATTATCTGCATCGGTTTCCTAACATTTGGCTCTTAAAACTGTTAACAGGATGAACTATTTTGCATGCTGTTGCTGCTGATTTTAGGTTATTATCTTCCTGGTGGCCCTCTTTTTAAAATCTGAATTTTAATTGAAGATACGCAGGTTTGTGTAACTTCCAAAGTCTCGACTTTTTGGCAGGCATCTGTTTACTACCAGGTGTGAGGGAACAGTGCTTTCTTTATCACTGAAGAGAGACGATTCAATCGGAGGAAGGGCAGGATTCTTTAGTAGCAGACCAACACCATCCCAAAGAAAGTCCAACTGGGAATAAGATCCATAAAAAAGGGATTAAGCCCTATTTTAATTTTGCATGTTACTCCAAATGGATGACATGTAATTAATATATTAAGAGGACTGTATTGGCCAATATTTAGTGGATTTGCGACTTCAATTCCAAAACTACAAGAGCTCAAATTGTATACCTAATTTGCATGTCCAGGACTATACAGAACTATTATATGCAAGCGCATATCAATCATGCTTGAAAATCAGGTGTACAGCTTGACTTGACTGCACACTTTTTAATGTTTTTTGGGATTAAGTCCTACAGTTTTTTCCAGGAAACAAGATAGTGTAGTGAACTATAGATAGTGTAGTGGAGGATTTCCCTGCCCATGGCAGGGGGGTTGGAACTAGATGATCTTTGAGGTCCCTTCCAACCCTAACCATTCTATGATTCTGTGAACTGAGCTGTGGTTGGAAACTAGAAAACCTGACTACCAAGAGCTAGTGATGCATTTCATGATCTCTCTTGAGCAAATTAGCCAGACATTGCACCAGTCCACATCCTAGCCAGTGCCATTATATGTGGAAATGAGAGTTTAAAAAAAAACGGATAAAGCTTTTTGTTGTCAGCTGGAATACTATTGAGGAATGCATTTGGATAGTGAGTGAGCCTCAAGGTCCCCCTGTTCAGACATAGCACAGATTACTTCACCCTCATTTTCCCAGATTCTAATTCCATCAAAGTTTTCTCTGTAGCAATAACATAGAGTTGAAAATCTTCACTCAACTTGATTTTATATAATCTGTTTCTACAGTAGTTGACTAGCAATAAAATGTTTTAAAGTGTTGAAGCATATGCAGAAAAAGAAAGTAATACTGACCTACCTTATTTCTTCCTGGCTTAGTATATGTTCAAAGCATTAAATCATTTGTAGTATTGTTTAGCACATTGACTTTTATTGTTTGCAAGAAAAATCCTTAACCTCACTTGAGTTCTCTTGCATCTCTGACTATCTATGGCGTTCAGCTCAGTTGTGGACCCGATGAAAGATTAGCAGAGAATAACGTCAGATTTCAATCCAAATACCAAGCAATCTGCCTAGTGGAATATTCTCTTCTTGCTTGACAAGCCAACTGTTGAAGGGGGGTTACTAAGAACTGAAATGTCTGATTTGCAATCTTTATTGTTGGATTCTTCAGTAAAAATTGTCTGTCTTGTACACTGACAAGAGAGTTAAGAGAGTTAAATGAGAGAGTCAAAGAGCATAAACACAATTTGTGGACTTTGAAAACCTCTTTCCCACCTAGATGTCATTAATATGAATAAAAGTTTTGTAATCTACCTGCCTGCATCTTCAGGCAGCTTTTTAAAATTTTACTCTATAGACTGTAAAAATGAAGTGGAGAATGTTCACAATATTTTCTGCATGTATACATGCAAACATGATGACAAGAAATTTAACTACTTCAGTTTCATCTGGAGTTGGGGGTATGGTTGGGGAAAAAAAAAAACCAACATCGTGTGTTTTAACATTCAATTGATATCATCAGGCTGTGGGTTGTTTACCATGGCCGCCTCTCATGGAAGACTGTGTCATCTTCAAGAGTAAACTGAACCAAAATGAACGGAAATAGTCAAACCTGGGGAAGAGAGAACTGTGGAGGAATAAGACAAATCCCATGGCTTCAAGATCAGGTTGCAGTTTACTCAGTTCATGAAAGGAAGTGCTATGACTTGTGTTTGATATCCACATTCCCAAAACAGATTCTGTTCTCAGACTTGTATCACACTGTTGGTCTCTACAGCATGACCGCAGGGCATCCTCAGTCAACAGAGTGTATGATCCCGGGTCACGTCAAGAGCTCTCCCAAGCAGCTGCTCCTGTGCTGTTTCTGGCCCCAGTCAGATTGTAATGGGTAGAAGTCAATGTCTTTCTAAGCAGGATATGGTTTCTGTAGGAGGTTAATATTTTTCATTTCCATTGCATCCAGATTTATTGGATATTCGTGGTGGGTAATGCTCCATTAAGAAAGAAAGTAGTTGCTTTCATAAAGCTTTGCACTGGAAATACAAACTATTTTTTCCTCTGAAGTAGAAGTGTTGTTATTTTCACACAATTACATGCATTCTTTCAAAAATTCTTTCTGCTCTTTGCCTCCCAACAGCCTGCATGGCTTTGTGCTCCCCTTTGAAATGAAACAGAATTAAAGCATAGCATGTTACGCCTGCCAAGTTAGCACTCTGTGTGTGTGTGTAATGTAAATTGGTATGTTGTCTATGAGTATTCTAAATTCTGCCATTACATTATTTCTGTTTTTCCAAAAATATACTTCACCCAAGGAATGTATAATGTTCATCAGTTGCATCTGATTTTTCTAATGCTATTTCTGTTTCACAGTGAAGAGGCAGCAGGGTTCTATTCCAACTTTCTACTATACTATAAATAGAACATACTGTTGAAAAAGTTTCAGGGTACGGTTTGTTTCAGTTTTTGTTCTGTCCTCCCAAAATCAGATCTTTAAACCTGCCAAGATTCTGTTGCTTCCATGTCTTTTTAAGAATTTATTGTGAGTTGGAGAGGGGGCGGAGGGGTTTGTTTTACACCAGGTAGAATATGAACTCTCTAGCAACTATGTATCATGCCCCATCCAACTATTTGGACCTTAGACTATAAATCTTTATTACATTTCAAATCATTTCATTTCAGCCACAGCGCCCTGTGCTTGCTCATGAAAACATACACAGTGGGGGGGAACCGTAAGTATACTTCTTGTCTACTAAACCAAAACCTAACATTTAAGCAATAGCCAGGACACCATTGAGTGTTTTGTTAACCTGCCAAGTACAGTTATGAAGAGATTTCAGAAATTCACAGATAACTGTATGATGTAGGAAGATAGCCAAGAAGGTCCTGGAAGGCAAAGCTTTAGTTGTTTAATTTAAATCAAACTGAGACAGACGTGCCAACTTACAGTTCTCCATCGTTAACAATTAAAAGGATTATAATTTTGTAAAAATAAAGTTTGACTATTTTTATTCTCTCCATTTTTACATCTCAACAGAACGCCAATTAAAGATTTAACATTTATTCTACTCACCTGCTTTACTGACTTGACACAAATTATTCAGAAACAGTTCTGGATGTAAGTAGAGAGAAAAAACAACACGATAGTGTTGATCACCAGAACACAAGCTCACACTTTTTGGTGTAATTTACATGTGCAATTTAAAAATTAGATACAAGAAAGCCTTTCTGAAAATGGGAGAACTACTAGATCACAAGTTTTGTTTTCACAAACAGTGTAAGCACTTGAGATAAAACATGTGAAGCATGTAAGGCTATTTCAGTCCCGACTGTTAAAATGCAAGTTTGTTTAATGCAAAGAATTAAAATGCAAGATTGTTTCCATTTTTTATATTTTTTTCTGAGTCTTATGCTCAGGTCCTGCTTTAGTGATCATTGAAACCAGTAGCCATGCTTTCTCTAGCATCAGAGCACTTTGGAGTATTAGTAATTCCCCTAGATGTAACTAAGGCGTAGCATCTGAAAATATTTAGAAGTTTACCTGTTAGTCACTTGAAGAAATTGTAACAGAGAAGAGAGGGGCAAAAAGTTACCAAATAATCGTACCATAGATAATATATAATGAAAATTGAACATTTTGGTTTCAGTCTCACTAAAACCACAAGTTCCTGTTGGTTTTGTTGAGTGTATCGAAGCACTTAACTCTTGTTTTGTAAGCAATAATTATCTAATTAATTTTGTTCAATATCATTTAAGTAGTTCATGACTAAAGTTACTTATTCCTAAAATTAAAAATAGAAATATATTTAAATTGCCAGCCAACTATTCTTTGTCTTGAATATGTACTCTGTTAGTGTTGTCAATAGTAGTAAAGTTTTCATACTTAAGAAATTCTTAGATTAGCAAAGAGAGAATTAAATTACTAGAAAGGAGTTATTAAAATGGATTATCTAGAAATGACTAAGATTAGATTTCTAAAGTACAAAGAGTACTAATCGGGAAGTTTGTGTTACTGTATTTAAGTAAGCAATTGGCTTGAATCCTACATGACATTTTACATCTGCAACTCCTATACCTTTGGAAGCTGCATTTAATCAGTTTTAGAATATCATCATCACTTTGCTTTCCTGGAATAATGAGAAGTATGGCAGAAAACATTATTGCCATTTAATTTTTTGCACAGATTGTTCTTACTTCTGCTACACAGATTACCAGAGGTAATTACTTAAATAGCCAGTCCTATTCCATTTTGTTAGTGTGATTAAAATATAAAGTTAGACTTTTCAGATATGGGGAGATAACTGCCAGGCACAAGAAATTAAGTTAAAATCATTTTTTTCTCCAAATGAGCAATGTGAAAAATAAGTGTAGTTTATTTAAGATGACTGTCATTACACTAAGCCTAGCACCTGTCTGTATACAGGAATTTCAAATGGGACTTTCAGGAGCAGGAATTTTTTACTGAAATACACATCTTATTTAAGCCACAGAGTTTTGCCTGAATGATACAGAGCACATGGTGATATTCAGTACCAACACATCAAAGGGGGAGTTACTTAGTTTTTATTGGGAGAAATGTAATGGCATTAAGGTTTTAAAGTCAGTGAACTGTTGTTGAGGGAAAAATGGACATGATTATGTTTTGTTTCAATATTTTGAAATTAAAACTGTTTCCTTTGTACAGTTGTACAATTTCTGCACTTGCACCCTGCTCCTTTACACACAGTCAGTCATAGCTGGGGCACAAGACAGTGAGAAAAAAAGGTAGATCCTGACTCTGCAGGACTCATGGGCTTTTGCAGCAGTCTTCCTGTGGGCTGTCAGTTCCCCCTATTAAGAGTTTATTGCCATTCTTTCAATTCCAAGAAACTCAATTAAAAGCTGACAAGGAATGAAAGATATTAAATGTAGCAACCTCATACCCCTTTCCGTCTATCCACCTCAGATCCTTCAATCAGCAGCCCCTGGCCAGGGTGGAGGTACAAGTTGGTACCTGAATACTGTTTGAGTTTCCATCTTTATGTCACCCAATTTGAGTCAAGTCTCTCCCTCACTCTCTGAGATATTTAATTATTTTTGTATATATAGCACAGGCAGTTTTAACAAGTAAAGAGGTTACGGCTGTATGTTTCCAAATAACAATTACTGTCCACCTTCCCCAGAGAAGCAGGCACCTCCTTTACATGCAGAGCTCCTGTAGCACCAAGTCCAGCCTCAGCAGTTGCTGCTGAGGAGCCCCAGGAGGTCCCCCTGGCCACTCTCCGGGGCACCCTCCTGCCCCGACTGCTGCGGGACGGCAGGCACTTCGCCTATGCCGGGTGGCACTTCGCTCCACCACGGCAGAGAACGCCTACATGAGGTTCGGCTTTCCGGAGCTTAAAGGCAGAGCCACAGTGTTAAGGTGCTGATCGGGGAGGGGCTAAGAGGATAGTGCATCTATGAGCTCCCCTCTAGAAGTCCTCTGGTTTGGTGCCTCAACTATAAAGTAAAGCTAATAAAAGACAGAACAAAACTAGGATTCTGTATTCAAAGCAACTGGTTGAGGAGCCATCAGGCTTGCCTTGAGTCTCTAGTCTTTAGTGTCAGATGCGTTACCTTTCCAATAAAGTTTTATTTATTTACCATGATAAGTACCTATCCCTGAAGTGCACCAGGCAAAATAAACCCTTTCCCCCCAAATTTGCAAGAAGCGATACTTATCAGTTAATGTGTAAACCAGCTCCTTTACTTCAGCAAAGGTGCGAAGAACTCTTACTTCTTTTTAAAATGCATCATTTGTCCTATTTAAGGTTTCAGGCTCTATATAACTATACTCCTAGGAACGAAGATGAATTGGAGCTCAGAGAGGGAGATGTCATTGATGTGATGGAAAAATGTGATGATGGATGGTTTGTGGGTATGTTTTAATTTGTTTGGTTTTTTCATTATTTTTTTCGCCCAATCTTTGTTGCCCTCTTTGCTTGGCGTCTTTTAGACAAATTAATTTTTGGTATTCAGTGTAATAAACCTGAATCTGGCTTTATTAGGAGAAGTCTCAACCAAAATTCACTGAAATTAGTGGGTGATTTTTCACTTTTATGTTTCCTAACTGATGGGCACAAATTGGCATGTGCCTCCCATTTGTTGCACAGCACTGTTCTTATTGTCACGTGAAACAAAATGGGCTACGTGTTACTGCTCTCTTCATAAAGCCCAGGTAACATAAAACATGCTCGCACGAATACATCTGCAGAATTAACTAATTGTGAGAATCAAGTCTTACTGAACAGATATTTGATAACTAGGCCTAGATAAGGTGGCTTAATCATTCCATAAACCTTCATGCACACAGTAGCTAGCTTAATCATCCAACTAGTGCTCAGCATTTCTCAAATTCAAATTATTTAAATAGACTTGATGTTGTTGAAATTAAGTTATTTCTATGTACTAAGTCAAAATTTTAGCACGTATTTTAATCAGGCCTAGCAATTTAATCAATATGCCTTTTTATTTGCTTTTTCCTTTCTGCAGTTATAATTTGTTAAAATTCACAACTCACAAATGAAATTCAAAATAACTTTTTAAAGTTATATTGTAAAGAACTATAGCTATTTCTGTTTATGCAATATGAAACAACAATTTAAAGGCCATGCTTACATAGTGAATTCCTGTTGTTATTCCCGTCTTTCATCTATCGCTTCTAATTTCAGGAACCTCAAGAAGAACCAAATTCTTTGGTACTTTCCCTGGAAACTATGTCAAGAGGCTGTGAATTTTTTTCCTACTTATTTATGCTGCATCTCTGCAACACATCTGCATAAAGCTGCTAGAAAACATGCTACGCTGGCCCTCTGTTTTCTTGCTTGCAGTCTCAAATAGAGGCCATCTAGTTCATCCTCATCCCATCCCATCCGCCAAACCGTTCCAGCAGTATTACAGCAACGACCACGGTGCGGATAACTAAGCTTTTCTGAAACAAGAGGAGTCGTTTCAACATTTAAGTACTCCCTATTTTAAAGTCTTTTCCTTCGAAACACAATAGGAAAAGCCTGATGACAGGTACACTGATGAATTGCCAGGGGGGATTGGGAGGGGGAGAAACTTCTTGGTTTGGACATTGGTGGTACTATCATGAAGTCTGATGGGATCTTTTTCAGCATGCATGTAATACAGGGGGAAGTTGCTGTTTACTATTTTTAAAAAAATTGTTTGAGTTTCCACGTTCTTATTAGCTTGGCAGCATTTCTTGCTTTCACTTTGCCGTATCACAGGTTTGCCTATTGTACTGGTTTACAATGTATGACAAATTATAATATAGGTTTTTTGCCTGCACTTGTATGTTGTAACATATGCACAGTGATTGTAAAATCTCAAGCGAGTGTAGTGAAAAATGGAAGAACTGCAAGTGTTCTGAACGGGTGCAATGGTATTGGCTAAACCTTTTTTCTTTTTTCCCTAATAAAGCTGTAGTGTTTTCTGTTAAAAGGTAAAAAGTGCAAGAGGCATAAAACCTCGTGAAGGAGGATTTGATAAAGAGACAGACAATGATATAAGACATAGACAATAATAACCTGCTACTGATGTCTGACATTAAATGGTTGTGAACAAAATGTTGTAATAGTAAGCAACATGAGATCTGAGAGGTTAGTGTTTTACGTATCACAGGAATTTTAAGAAGCAGGAAATAAACAGTGTTAGTGCAAAGGGTTGTTGGGTTTGTTGTTTTTTTTCCTAACATAGCCACCTGAAAAATATTCACAAGTATCATGTACTGAATTACTTCACCAGAGATATATATATGTATGTTAACAAATCTGAGTTACACATTTTTTTTAGGAATTTAGTACAGAAAAAATCTCTCAAGTATTAAAACTGATACATTTTAGAGGTGGGTTGTTTTGTTTTTTTTTTTTCCTGAACGAAACAAGTATTTGAAAACATACATTTTCCATAAGCAAAGGTAAGCATAAATAGAGAATGAAATTAAGGCACAGGATGATAATGACTATGGCTTTATAAAAAAAAAAATTCAGATTTGGTTTCTTCAGCACCTTATAGATGGCAACAGCTTCTACTGCATTTCTCATGGGTAAAGGATTGAAATTATCAAAATGTATGTAGTCTGTAGCATTTTGTACATATGTTTGCTTTTTTGTACAGAGCCATTTGGTTGTTGATTTTAAAAAAATTAAGTTCCTTATTTGATCTTTGCCCTCTTCACATACACAACATTTCGATGCATTTTTCTTTTCTTGCTCTATTTACCATAAGCACATCTGGATAGTGCAATTCTGTAAGATAGCATTTTATGCAAAATTTTATTAATTAAAATATGGTTTACCAGCCAAATCTAAATGTACATATGTCTTTATTACTGAGAAGTGTCATTAAGACAAAGGTAAAGAAACATCTTTGTGCAGCATACCTTTATTATTGCAGATTTCATGGCAAAAGCTTTATATTCAGAGGCTTTCAATTTTAAACTAGATCTGCATGCAGCTTTGCTGTGAGATTAATACCTATCTTTGATGCCATTTATGATTGAAGACTTAAATATCTGTTGCCTGTGATATTTAAAAAGTTCTGTTTCTACTCTGTAACTGATTTTAGAAAAATGCAGGTTTTTCATACCTGGCTTTCAGGTAACTGACTTTGAATTCCTATGAGCAAAAGGTCTCTGTGGTTTTTTTTCTTGAATAGACTTCTAATAAATTTTGCTTGGAGTACAAAACCGTTTCCCCCATCATTTCTCAAAATACATGAAACATATTACTTAAGTGTTGCAAAGCACTTAACTCTTCGAGCTTATATGCAAATAGTTTTGCCTTGTACAGAGATTTTTTTCCACCACCAAGCATACACCAGCTACATATATATGTATGTATATATGAGCAACTAGTATTGCCCACACAGCTCTCAATTGGTCCACTTCAGTGTCATCCCTAAAACCTTGAATCCAAAAGCAACATTCTGGACTTCCTGCATTGCCAGTGCTAATCTGAGATCATTTTTCTGTTGCCAGAGCCACTCCTCACTCCAGAAGCACAAAGGTAAAACCCTTTATACCTGGCAAGAGTTCCCACACCCCAATCCTTCAACAAAAGCAAAACAAGAACTCCTCTGTAAGTGACAGCATAGAAGCAAGATTTACGGAAAAGACAGATATTTGGGGAGCATCTTACACTTGGGATTCTGCCTGCAAAACTGAGTTATCCCTTACTAATGTCTCTGCCTGGCAAGGAACAACTGTTGGAACAAAAACAAAACCTGCAACAAGCAGCAAAGTAAGCAAGCAGCAGGTTGTGCCCCCCACGCTGGCTGGTGACACAGTTCCCACCAGTGCCTCACAGTAGCTCTTTGGTCCTTCTCCAGGCCACCCTGGCTGCCCTTGCCGAGCTGCCTCCTCCCAAATGATGTATGTGCTGTACTTCTAGCACTGAAGAGCACAGCACAACAGCAACCCGCATTTGGACAGGAATAACTTATTTCTTCAAGTCTTGATTCATGCTCAGTTTTGTCTTTGCAATAGCTGGGCTGGAAAAAGCAAAATCACCGACACCCCTCGATATAAATACACGAGTGTGTTGCTTAACCTCCCTGTAGGCAAAGTTAGCATCTTCAAACTGGGGACTGCTGTTAAAACTCCAGCAGATAAACACCCTTCTCAGTATAAACACTGTCGGTGCCGGGAGTGCTTTCAGTCTGGACAAGGCCTAATTTAGTTGATACTATTACTGCTGAGCTAAACGTGCCCTTCCAGTGCTAAGTTAGCTTAAACGCACCGCGTGCACCTCTTCTCGCAGCCCTCTAACCAAATACTGGAATATAAGATCGAACGCGTGGCTTGTCCTTTCTGTTTGCTGGGGGACCCAGTGTGGGATCTGGGACATCACCAAAGCACTGCTTTGTGCCTTATACCTGTGAGAACCATAAGGAGGAGGAAGTACTGGGCTTTAATAGTCTTTTTCTATAAAGGCTAGCCTAATAATATCAACTGGTTGGTGTAGTCTTGCTAATACAACACAATTCTGGATGGTTAAGGGTCTGAGTTGTTAAGGGGTGAAATAGCATCTTCATTGCTAATTGTGATGGGGATGAAAAAAATAGAAGAGAGAGGTTGCTGTAATAAGAACGGCACGTCATTGACACTTGAGGAAAAACTGTAGTGTTAATGCTTTAGTCAAAAAGTAGAGACATGTTAAAGTTATATCCAGATAAACCAAATATATTCGTCTAAGTCTGCTGAAATCCCACCTATACTCTTTCAGGAACAGACTGAAGAATTCTTTGAGCTTCCTTGTATAATCCTTTGTACTGTCCTATAAAGCCATGAAGGAGACCTCACAGGACTAGGTGGTGTTTGGTCCTTAAGGCCAGAGGAAAAGAGACCTGGGGAATTGAAGGCCAGCCAGTTTTAATACCTAGAAAGAGATCAGACCATTAAAAGCCTCGATGGTCATGAATTTTCTAGAAAAAGATGTATCAAACCAATTTCCCTTTTTCATGTCAGGAAAACCTTGATTTCTATTAGGATTTTCGTTTACTGCTGTGTTAGCAAACTGTAAAAAGTCTATGTCAGCCCACATGAAACCAAGTTTGTTGCACAGTTGTTCTGATACCGATAAATGGGTAACCTAACCAGAGTCTCTAAAAAAACAATAGATTCCACTGCCTACCCTGCAGAAAGCCGTGCATTTGCTGTTGAGGCAAAGGCCTCTTAAAACAAGCAAACCTACAAAACACCAACAAGGCAGGGAGATCAATGCACGAGCAGCTCAGGGTGATGATCTGTATCCCCAACTGAGTGAAGGGTCACACCAGCAGGTTCAGCATTCTGTCACCAGTGCCAAAGCAAAGCATGTTGTCATTCTGCAATGCCTGCTATTTACTAGTTGCCTTTTAAATGCTGATGTACAGACCCTGGACAAGAACACGAGGTGCTTCCTATGCGTTTGAAAACGCAGTTGCACAAGCCAATGGAAGGCTAGAAACATGAAGTCAGTAACTCTAGAAGGACCTTAGGTCATTGCTAAGTATATTGCCTTACAGCATTTATAGTTACATGGTGAAACCCTGCCTTTGCTCTAGTTAACAGCAAACTCCATTGCAACAGATCCCACAGTATTGGTCTCTACGTTAGCTTGAAAATTGCCCAAGAGAAGCACTGAGGCAACTGAATGGCCAGGGTTGGCTTGGTTTTATTATACGGAAAGTACGAGTGCGGGCAGAGACCAGGAACCACTGCTTTGGCTGCTCCCATTACACAGCACAGTAGATAGCTACTAGAGAAGGGAACTAACTGGCAAGTTAACTTAAATCATGTATGGCTCCAAAGTTGCAAAAGTATATTGAAAGGGCCAGAAATTAAGTTTTTAAACACGTTTATACAGCAGAACCCCTTGCTACATCCAGGAAACGTGGTGTAGTGGTATAGTGGAGGGTGTCCCTGCCCATGGCAGGAGAGCTGGAACTAGATGATCTTTGAGGTCCCTTCCAGCCCTAACCATTCTATGATTCTATGAAATATCAATCAGGCCAAGAGCTGAATCCACTCATTTTACAGAGCAGGGAACTTGCCAGACCAACCTGTAGAAATCAATACCTCGTCTGGACACAGTAAGCAGGGAAGATGAATTTAATAAGGCTTTCTTCTGCAACTCAACAGGTAATCAATCAACATCATGCTATTTATACAACTGGATTAAAAAAATGCCATTTTACTTTCCTTTATTTTTATTTCACTTTTTTTTTTTTACCCTGCAATGGCCAAATAGTTACATTCCTAAGTCCTAGCTAAAAATTGCCCAATAGAATCTATTATTCTCATCAATATAGAGAAATCACATTCCTTTGAAAATTAAAAATATTTCTCTCTATATATATACACACAGAATATGACAGAAATCCACTCAAAGGGAAACAATGGAATGAATGAATTCCTGCTTGCACTACCCTGAGTCAGATACTATTTAGGCGAAAGAAGGTGATACTGGTGACATACAGGCTGTCATTCATGTATTTAGTGTCACCTCTGAAACACACAAAGAATAACGAAAGTTTCTAGGTTAATATGCAGTGATGAAACCAGGGAAGACCCTGAGAAATCCTGCAGGTACAATCATGAGTATAATCCTGCTGGCTGGTTACACTGTGCACCGTAGCTCTTTAGCAGTTCTGCACCCAAAATTCCCAGCTCCTGGTTCATTTCCGTCAATGTGAATCCCATATATAAAGCATTACAGAATTAGGACTTCTAGTATTTAACTTCTATTTCTTCGAAAGTCATACAGAAGGAGCAAAGTTCTGTGTTTCAGACTATTTAATATTACCAGAAAG